ATCGCTGATGAAGCAGTCGAGGTCCGTGGGCCAATTGCGGCCCTCTGTGTAATTTCATGTGGCCCTCTGCCTTACTCACACATATAGGCTTTGACATCATAAACATGATAAAGTTCAAAGTGTCATCCAGCCAATTTCAGCTCAGCCAATAAAGACCAGTTGTACTGTACCTCGCTGTAACGCTCAGACCTCTAGAATTCAGTTGCTAACTTTATTTCTTATTATTATCAAACTTTATTAAGGACACAATATAATACTGTGAACATGTAAACAAACAATACATTGCACATAGAAAAAGGTATAATGTGTACAGCTGTTGTACAATATAACGGCATGACCTTCAGTGATTCAGTTTTTTCAATCTGGGTCCTCGGCCCACATGGACAAGTCTGGTGAACTAAAGTGAACCTCTCACTAAAATGTTTGTATGCCCCTGCTATAAACCAAGAACCATGCATGAACCATATGCTTACTGTAGGAAATGACAACTTCCAATATATTACTGGAACCTTTTGTTGGCCTCGTCACCCACCATTGATTCAATCGTTTACGCTCTCATCACAACATCTGTAACAGGGGAAAAGCCCCTGTCTAATTGCTCCCTACAAGACACTATCTCTCTCCAAGGACCTGCTACATACACTTCATTCTACACAAAGCAGCACATAATTTAATTTCCACCCTGGGAGCTCATACCATTTGTGCGTAATAGAAATGGGAGATTGCAGTTGGATTGCATAGTGCATAGTGCATATATCACTGTGTGCATAAATTCACAACTGGGAAATTCAGTTAAGTTTGAAGCTTGTAACAGCCATAATAAGGTTGTGTATAAGATAACAAGACTCTTTAGTCGTATGAAACTCACTTCATGGAGCAAAGGCACATTTGTAGCATTTTGTTTTTCGTATCGGCTGTAGAAATGTATTGCAAAATGCTTAAACTTTAGTCATCTATGAAATGGCTAATCAAAGTAACAGTTGAATTACAGAATTAATGACATTTTGAACGATATTCTAATTTTACGACTTTCACCTGTAAATGAGGCTCATAGTGAACTTTTAGTTAAATGTGTTTTGTATCTTCTGTTGCGTGACTCTAGAGTTCAAGTACATTTCCCCACAAAAAAGCTTTTCTTATATTGTTATAAGATTAAGGTTGTGTGCTGCTATATAACATCTGTAAGGTCACAGTGATAAATCATGACCTTTTTCCTCATTTCATAAACACAGCATTGTGATTAAAATCTTCTTCTTGAGATATTCTTGCACATTTATTGCAATTTCCTGTTCAGAGAATGTTTTAAAACAATCAATTCGAGTCCAGACTTGAGAGCGATTAGGGAAAAGCACAAATAACAGTGTGCAGCATATCTCCATAGTTAGGGATATGGTTAGGAACAAAAAGTCATATAATGCTTTCAGATACAGTTGTGTCTGAATTGTCTGTTACTTCACATTTGCATGTACATGTTTTGCTCTTCCTGCAGCCGTATAATTGCAAATACTCAGCCCTGTAGTCTATGAATTATATTTTAGTCGTAAAGACCTTGTTAAAACTTACTATCCTATTACATTTGCACAAACTGAAGCCATTTGCCAGGAGTGTAATTTATAGCTGCACCTCTTCTCAGATCATAAATTACAAAGGAAAAGGGTGTTGGACTGCGTGGTGTCATATAATCACTTTTTGTAACCGCGTTGGCTGCAAGCACTTCCACAATTGCACCCTGGAAACATGCGCTATCTGCACAGAATCCTATTTCATCCCAGCAATGCATTACAGCAGTGGGCTATTTTGCATATTTATGGTGATAATAAGATGGGTTATTAACTGGTGGTACAGTCCAAAATAGCTCAACACTGCAATATCTGGTTATCGCCGGGGAAATGTTTGTGTGGCACACCTCCCATCTTTTGCTTAAAACACACACAGCTGCCTGCTACAATGAACTGCAGTGTGTGGTGGAGGGTGTCTCGCTTTGATCTTTAAATACCCTCTAACGTTAAGGCATGCTCATTGGCTTTGATTTTTTTCTACAGCTGCAGGGAAGATGTTGACGCTCCCTTAAAGCCTCCTCCTCCTTATGTAGCTGCAGCTCAGTGGAGAATGCGTGAACACCTATCTCTTTTTTTCCTTCTTCCAACGCTACCGCCATCTGTCCCTTTCTTCCATTTCATGCGCTCAGCCAACATCCACACCCCTCTCATAGCAACAGTCCACGGTGTAGTACCCGAGCGCCCCTGCCAAGATGCACCCTCCAGCATCCACTTACTATGCGTCTATGGGATCCTCCAGGCAGTGTGTTTATGTTTTGGATAATCTGTTTTAACTGCGAAAATGTATTATTAATAGTAAGGCATAACACTTATATAGCACTTTTGGGGCACAACACATATCATTATTTATTCACTTTGTACACGGTGCTAGTAAACTACTGCTGTAGCTGCCCTGGGGCAGACTGACGGGGGCAGGGCTACTAATCCGTGCCATCAGCCTTTGAGACCACACCAATTATCCACACTCACCAGACTCATACTACATTTGTCTAATTAGAACAGTACAAACATAATCAATTTGACCAAAATAAAGTGAATTAATAATTAAAATTTAGTATTATTTATTATTAAAATAGTTCCATTATCACTGATAATATTACATCCCTAACTCAGTTAGACATTATCTTAATGAATAATTAGGCTATTTGAATACATTTATTTTTGCTAATTAAGACTTGATTTAGTTTTATAGCCTCAATTACAGCTCATTTATAAATAATTACCACATTTGAAGGCACATAAAAAGACTGTTGAAAAATAATCAACCTTTGCATATTTTCACTCTCTTTCGATTTGAACCTTTATGATTACAGGTAGAAACAGTTACGTTACATGGTTATTGGTTGTGCGACTTTAGGGGGCGCAGATGTGAACAGAAGCGCACCCCGCCTCACGCGTCTTGCGGTGCTGTTCCTCCGTGTAGAGGTTGCACTTTGCAGACGGTCCCTGAGCTCTGACGGTCCAGTCCCCCCTCCCCCAACAGCCCTGCTCCTGTTTCACTAAAGATGGCGTCGGCTCTGGAGCCCCTAGTCTCTGGCTGCATTTTTCGGCTTGTTGTTGTCTCCATTGCGCACGGGTTTGGCACCTTCCCCGCAGCTACTCGACACCTAATCCCGGTGAGTAACAGCGGAAATAACCCCGGATAGATCTGTACGTGGTCGCCCATTCTTCGGACTTCCCTCGCAAAGCAGAACCGGACCAGCGCTGGCTTTCTGGGGGGACCGTGGAGAGGGGAGCGAGGGGTACTAGCGCTGGGGTGCTGGTGGCCGTGCAGGGTGGGGGTACAGAGGGGGGATTTGCGGCCTAGCTTCCCCCCCTTCAGCTCTGGGGCCTCGGCCGTGGACTTACGTGGGTGGTGGAGGGAGGAAGTCTGTGAGAGCGAGTGTGAGAGCGGGCTGGAGATGTCTACGATCACCGAAGGCTGCAAACGAGGCCTCGGCGCGGGTAACACTGCAGGCTATGATGTCTTATTTTTGCACTTGCTCACTAGCCTAAATGGCGAGTTGCATTGTGCTTTCTACAAGGCCGCGGGGTTACTCTTATATCTGTTATTGTTGCACATTTGGCTCTGGGTCTGCACTGTGATGCTTTGTGTTGTCTGAACCGTGTCGGGCAGCGCACAGCCTTATCGCTCACTCTTGCTTTCGATATGCGCTGTTTACATTGGAACATTGTTGTAACATTAGCTCGCTGGTTAGCACTTAACATTAGCCTGCTAAACAACAGCAGTAGTTAGCGGGAAGCCCTGTTGTCAGATACTTGGCTGCCAATATCATATCGGTGAGGGTAAACACACCACGGAAACACTTTGGCGAAGGAAACACTGGCTGAGCTTTGATTTTTAGCTAGCCTCAGTGCTAATGTTTGCTAACAGCCCATGTTTTGACTGCATCATGTTTACGTTAGCTACCCCCAGCTAGTCTTAGGGCAGTGAAGTGTAGTTTTGGTTTATGTGATGCGGTTTATTCACTTTTTTATACTGTTTTTGGCTTCAGGATTAATGCCGAAAAGCTTCATTCCGTGCATTTAATGTCTGTTTCAGTTTAGATCTGTTTCTGGCAGCCTGAGAGGCATACTATTAGGTTGGAATTTAGAATTATTGTCAGCGAATATTCTCTTATTTAATGTATTCTATTGTTTATTAAGATGTAATACGCTTGTGCTGTTTACTGATCACATCAGTGTATACATGCCGCTTCTTTTTAGATACTCTAATTATCATTTTATTTTTACTAACCAGAGTGGCCTGTCAAAGTTTTTGTCTGAGATGGCAGTTTGAACTAATGTGTGTCCTTTTCTCTGCAGGTTTTATCACATCTTCAGGTGCACAAGGCATGAAGGTGATCGCACTGACTGCTCCCTGGTGTGAGATATCTGTTCCGTCCTAGAGCTAAGAAGTCCGGAGTGTGGCAGGTGCACACCATCAAGAGGCAGGGATTGAGCAATGAGGAACTGCATTGTGGATGAGCAAATATTTTAATCTCTAAAACTGACTATTCTTTCTTTCGTTTGTGAGAGATAAACTTTTGGGCCTTTATTTTACATTCAGAATTCAGCAACCATCCTGCTCGTTTTTATTTTTTTGGCTGCGCACAATTTACTCTTTTAACGTATTATTTCCCCTCTTGGACGTATACTCTGCCTTGCTCTCTGCCAGCCTGGCTGGTCTGGCTGGAGGAAGGGGGGGTCTTTTTTTTTACCAGCTGGAGCGTTGGCAAGAGGAGTTTGTGCTATGGTCAGCTGCTCTTTACCGTGCTGCTCATTCTCAGCTTCTGAGGGAATATCCGTGCGGCCCCAGGACAAAGGATAGTCCGCAGGTAGAGGGTTCAAAGGAGAGCGGAGCGGCGGCGCTCCGGCGCAGGCCAAGACATCCTTTGGCTTAAGTTATTTGTGGTCATAGCGGTAGGGCATTGAGCCCTTCCACCTCAACCGACTGCAGCCATGGTGAAACTAGCCAACCCGCTGTACACACAATGGATCCTAGAGGCCATCCGAAAAGTGAAAAAGCAAAAGCAGCGCCCTTCCGAAGAGCGCATCAGCAATGCAGTCAACATGTCCCATGGCCTGGATCGCAAAACTGTGTTAGAACAGTTAGAACTCAGTGTCAAAGATGGGACTATCCTCAAGGTCACCAACAAGGGGCTCAACTCCTACAAGGATCCAGACAACCCTGGGAGAATCATTGTGCCCAAAGCCAAAACTGGAAGCTCTGGAGGAGGAGGAGGAGGAGGCGGAGGCGGCGGCGGCGGCGGCAGCTCAAGTGGAGGGTCACACTTCCACACAGGGAAGAAACCAGGGCTGGACTGGAACAAGCTAATCAAACGGGCACTGGAGGGTCTCCACGAGCCTGGGGGTTCATGTTTAAAAGACATTGAGCGTTTTCTAAAATGTCAGGCAGATGTTGCATCGTATCTGTCCAGCAGTGGCTCCATGGGCACTGGGATCTTTCACCAGCAGCTGAGGGTGGCCCTAAAGCGCGCTGTGGCCCATGGACGAGTGGTCAAACAGGGTTCTCTCTTTGAGCTGGTCAGCCGCAGCAGCTCCCACCACCACGTTGACGACGGGACTGGGACAGTGTCTATTGAGTCACTACCACCTGTCCGGCTGCTTCCCCACGAAAAGGACAAGGTAAATAATCTCACATGTGCATCAGTACAAACATACGCACAAACAGTATTTTTATTTGATATTTTGGGTCTATTTTTTTTTTTTGCGGCAGTAGTTTGTATGTTATTGTGCTGTGAAAATGTGGTGTTATCAGACCTTCCTACGTAAAACATAAGATTGTGTTCTTTCAGTGAAAACTAATAACCTTACATGTCAAAACGCATATCTCCCTCTCTTAATTCATTATTCTTAGACACGCCAGAGTGTCTCAGACCTACGGTTTGCTTTTCCTTTTTAGTTTTACCACATATTCTCAAAGACCACTTAACTTTGTCATCTTCAAATCCTGAAAAGAGCTTCTCTTTCACTGTTTTCCTGTTCTTGTTGTTGTTAAAACTGGCTATGAATGTTCAAGTCATGTAAACAAACACCAGGAGTTTGCTTTCGGGGAAATCATGACCCAGGTGTGCAGGTCGACTTTGGCAGAGAGTTGAGGAGTTTGTTAAGGTTGATGGGTGGGCGTCTGCAGGCCAAGTTTTTAAAGAGTAGGTCAATGCATGGTGTCACATAGCTCCCAGCCTCCTGCAGTGAATGTAGACCAGCTGCGGGCTAGTCCCTGGCAGGAGCTGTCTGCGAAGAGGCAGGAAGAAAATAGCAGAGCCAGAGAAACGGGAAAAGAGTTTGGTGTTTTGTGGAGGAGTCTTGCATGACGTAAACTAGTACAGGCCTCCATAACCAGAGTGTTACAGACAGACACAATGAGTAGGAGAGCGAGGGGAAAGGCAGACATCCAGGCGACAGAGGAGCAAAAGAAACACACCCACTTTTGTAACCTGATCAGAGGCAGCAGTCGGCAGTTAACCTCTTCTAAAGAGCCAGAGATATGTTCAAGTCCGCGTGTTTACAGAGCACTTAGGAAAATCATATTACTGCTTCCAACCAAAACTGGACTCACAACTATTGTAGACTTGAAATAGTATACTTTTCTTCTGTGTTCAATCTTAAAAAGACACTAAAGCCTTACTGTAAGAAAGATACACCGCCACCTTTTGGAATCATTATTTGTTATGCATTTCCCTGATATTGGCAGTCTGCCGTGCAACTTGCTTAATTTGTGTTAATTATATTAGTTCTGAAGAGTAGTAACAGTGAATAGAAGAGTTTTCAGTAAAGAATATTTAAATGTGATAATTTACAACCATAATATAATTTAATCAGAATGATGGAGGTCAAATTCGGATAACTAAAGAGCCTTTAGAGTATCCCATTGACTATGTACACAAATAAATCAAGTAGAGCTTCACGCTTCTGCAAACATAGTAGCTTGTCAGTGGGTCATATGTCACAGGGTTATCACCACCTCCTGCACTACACTGCTGCGGCTGCTATAGCGGCTATTCCTGTCCCATTTCAGGGTGTGTACATGCCAGTGCAGCCGAGAAATGCCTCCATTCACACACTGGAGGATTAACCTAGAGAGCAGGAGGGAGTCACATGGGGGCTGCTAACACACTGACCCGCTTGGCCACAGACACTCCGCTCACCTCTTAAGATGACCACAACCGGCTCCATCTGAACTGATGGTACTCAGCGGCACTCTCCCGCTCAAGGCGTCAAGTAGATGTTATGTAACACGTTATATTGGCATAGCAGGTTTCACACCTTCATTGTGTTTAATGGGGCAATTTGTAAGTCTTAGTCTTACATAATTTTTGAATGTGGCCCCAGACACAAGGTCAATTTGTAAGAACCCAAAAGCCTTTTCTGATCATTATCAAATGCAGATTTATAAATAAATAAAAATCTTGGACTGCATTAAAGTATTTCTTAAAATTTGACATTAAATTTGACTTTAAATATACGGAATTTAGCTTTTTGACAGGTTAAAAGTGCCGTAAGTAAGTAGTAATGTTTATTTATATACCGCCTTTCACAGACCAGAGTCACAAAGCGGTTTACAATTGTTATTTTTGGGCACTTGTCTCTCACTCCACACAGAGATGGAGCAGGGTCGCCGAACAGCAGGCGCATGCCAATCCTATTGTACATATTTTTAGTGGTAGGGGAAACCGGAGTACCCGGAGGAAACCTACGCAGACACGGGGAGAATATGCAAACTCCACTCAGAAAGGCCCTGGTCCGGCCGGGATTCGAACCCAGGACCTTCTTGCTGAGAGGCGAGAGTGCTATCCACTCAGCCACCGTGCCGTCTGCAAACAGAGCATTTTGCAGTAAAACCACTTTGGAATACATTTGCGAATGTTCCCAGAGTGCACAAGACAAGTACATAGATAAAACAAGCATAAAAGTACAGGAATAAAAAGTGCTGGAAACGATTATTACTGAAATCGATTTAATTCGAGTTATTTTAAGTTTCACACATTTAGTTGATGAACTCAAACTACATATTGATCCCTTTTGACAACTTATGTGGAAGAAAAGCTTGATACTGGCAAGCATAGTATGAAATGAATACGTGACTGGGAAGACTTATGTTAAATCATTAAACAGGCACACGACCATGATTATTTTGCTGTGGCCACATGATTAGTACAACTATTGATTATGAATGGCGTATTGTGTTTAGACTAAAATGGAAAGATTGTAGACACTGGAGGACGACATTTTAGCTTTGTAAGAAGAATAGAATATAAGAGAGGAATGTACATATGGTGTTCTACTGCATTAAGTGGCTCCCTGTGGCATCCTGTTTGAGCGACAAGCCTTGATTCTCTCTTTGAGGCCATTTTCTGTTACTCTCACCGTTTCCTGTTAAACTAAATTGCTCTTGTCTAGTTATCACCTTGTAGAGGAGCCTATTATATACATACAACACATCTTATTGCTGGTAATATGAAATCATTCAATATGGCCCTTTTACAACGTGGATGTCCTGCAACAACATTTCATTGTGCTACATTTTCACAAATACAGGAACTCTCAACCCTCCTATTGTGTTTGACGAAATTATACAAATGTTCCCCTCTTCCAAGTATTTGTGATGGACATTTACAACAATAACAATGCTGGTTTTAAGTATGTTTTCCACAATACAGCAGCCTCCAACTTGAGCTGCTCTGCTCCGTTTTTGGTGTTTGCTGCTCTTTGCTGTTTCTGCTATTCAATTCTTTTAGCATCTGCACCACTGATGTCCCATGTGCGTTTTGAGCTTAAAGTGGTTCTCACCCCCGCTCCTCGGAGCTTACGTCACTCACATTTCCTGTTCAAATCTTCCTCTAAATGGGCGTAGCCTGGAGGACTAAAGGGGGCGTGAACGAGACTGGGCCGTTTACATTGCTCTGGGCGGGGGGCTGCTGACGTCAGGTCCAACTTGCAGACGTCAGGTCCAACTTCTGTGCCAGTGTTGGCGCCAGATTCAAAATTCAAATGTAGTAATACAGGTCGCCAGCAGATGGCGCCTCACAGACGGTTTTAGGCAGAAAGATTTACTTTCAACTAATTTGCACCAAAGTGACAAGATTATGACCAGGATATGTAGACAACACTATTGGACACTCATTTAAATCGTTTATCAGCAAAAAAAAGTGGATTTGAGGGTGAGTTGTCCTTTAAGCTTTCTGTTTTATCTCGTTGACAAATGTTTATAGATGGTGTATGCGGACAGCTGAGGTTGAACATAACATTTTCCATTTTGATGAATATTCAGAGCGTGAAGGCTTGCCGAGGTTCTGTTGTGCTAGATTCATTGTACTGTTCCTGATGAATATGTGAATGTGCCAGTGGCAATATCTGTAATCATGAGACAAGTGTTGCATGGTTGCTTCCCCGTGCTGCCGTCTTTCCCAGATCACCAGATCAGAGCCATATTGTCACGGGTGATCGCTGGCTGTTATGATTTCAGATGGAAGAGGAGGGCACACAAGCATGTGTGTGTGAGTACAAGCAGGGAGGAGAAAATCAAAACGAATTGGCCAAGCACCAGTATTGACCCCATTTGCTAGGAGATTTGTGTACTCAACGCACTGCTAGCACTCCATCCAAAACTGGGATGACGGACCTTATTTCTGTGTCCCCCTCTCTCCCCTAATGGGGTGCCATTGCCAGGTCAGAACGGGGGAGAGAAGTCATCCAGAGGTCAGGGATATATAGATGGCAAACCTCATTGCCTCCCTGAGCGCCCGTTAGCTGTATGAAGCTACGGCCATTAGGTGGGATGGGCTTGATGCTATCCTTTGTGTATATATTCCCATAGATATTGGCGGCTGGCGCGTTATGTGGGCTTGTGATGTTCACGCTGTCATAATGGACAAGAGCGATCTGCCTGCCCCACGATTGCCCTCTTAACAGCTGGCTAAGGGTTCAACCAAAGTTCTCCCATGATGATGGCGGTGTCACGGCGAGGACGTGTGAAAAAACTCAACCAAACACACAACAGTCAGGCCATCACAGCAATTCGTTTCCCTCCAAATGTTCCACTGACCAAGAATTGGGCTGAATGATGTTCCGTTCGTCTTCCCCCATTTAGAATATATTGAGAAATATTTATCATGGGCTTGTATTGGATCAACCCAAAACTCCCACGCAGACATGACATGGCCCATGGCTGTATTTCCTCAAGGTGAAGACATCCTCGCTCGTCTCGCTCAGAGGACGGCCCATACACAATGCCCCCAGACATTGATTATATGCCGCCAGTGCGTCTTCCATCTCTTCTGCATCCTCTCCTCGGCTCCCTTCTCCTCCGCCTGCATCTGTGGCGGCTGTTATGGTGTGGATGTGTTTGCCCGGTGCATGGAAACTTTTCCTGTGGGTTTCACATCATCTGCTGCAAAACAATCTATTCATGAATAAGTCTCTTTTCAGTTCTTACATTTTGGTGTTCAGAGTAAATATTCTCTACTTTTGGTTTAAAAAAACTTTCAAATGTTTTTTGTTGCTGTTTTGAGTTGCATTGGGCTGAACTAGTTAAGCAAATAATGGTTGGCAAAAATGTTCCCTCAAGTAACCCTCAAACATGTGTGGAGAGGACATAATACTTTTGTCCTCATTACTCTGCAACG